TATATATATATATTATATGCTGACCTTCTCACTCTGGTCCGGAAACGCAAACTGCAATGGTATGGACACATCACATATTGATTATATCCGTTCATATTCTGGCCTTGCTATGAACCTGCAAGGCAGCGTCCAGGGAAAAAGGAGAAGAGGCAGACCGAAGAAGAGTTGGCAGGACAACGCCAAGGAATGGACAGGCCTGGAACTCAAAGTCACGCTCAGAAAAGCTGAAGGCCGGAAAGAGTGGAGGAATCTGGTGGCCAAATCTTCAAAAGCGCCCCGACGGTACGCAGTCTACGGGATATAAGGTGTCTATAGGTGAACCTTGAGCCAAGCAAGGTCAGTACCCCCCCAGTGTTATTTAGTCAGTGGAAACAAACAGATGAAATAGGGACAAACCGATGAAATTTAATTCTCTTCGATGTAAGATTAAGCTTTGGGTGGATACAGTCGTTGTCGGAGTAAATACACAGACTAATGAGATCACATTCGAGTGATTGTTGAGCCTCAGCAGTATGTTTGTTGAGTGTTCGTGGAGTTTCGCTTTTGATCGGAATATTTATGTTTTGTCCCGTTTAGAATTTTTGTGAAATTAAATGTTTTGTTTTGATTGTAGCCAGAGTAAGTACATGTAACTTTTGGGGGGGAAGAAAACTATCTTTGAAGTTTGAAGAAAACCAGGTACCTTGTGGAATTGCCCCACCCCATAAGATGCCACTGAGCAATATAACACGGAACCTTAGCCATTCTTTGCAATAAATACATTCAATTGAACTTAATAACTTATATCCAAATAGCTGCTGAGTGCGGTTAAAAAAATAATTAATGATTCATGCAATAACTAGAGAATCTAGCCTAATTTTTTTTATATCCATAGCTCTCCATTCGCCATGGGAACCACTATGTACAGGCCTAGGCTATTATTATTGGTGAAAAAAACGTTTCTCGGGCATTGCTGACAACGGGTAACATTGTACATGTACTTTTAGACTTCAATTGTAGTTAAGAAGTTTTACATGTATCTGTTCGATCCATAGTCTATGGTTCGATCCTTCTGGAGGCCTAGCATAGTTCCATTGAAATTCTCGCAATCCACTAGATCTAGAGTCTATTTGTTTTGTGTAGCATTGTAAAGGAAATAATCAAACTTTTTAATGTAACACTTTGCAAGCCAAGGCCTTCACATGCGGCTAGCAGCAGCCCGTCAGCCAGAAGCTGATTGGCTGTGGGTAAGCTAGTGGTGCTCTGATTGGCTGTGGTAGGCCAGTGGTGAATATTGTGTTGGGCCTATGATTCCAGTTTTAGCGGTTCGGAAACTTCTGAAACAGTGCTGTAAATATATGAAGCCTAATCTACCTGTTCCAGT